TACCCTGCCCATACCCCTTCCCATCCCCAACCACACCATTTGCATAGCCTCAGCCCAGCACCAACCTTAAGAGACCCAAACATTGAACCCATCCACCCCCAGCCGCTCCATTAATATGGCCCCAGCTGGCGCCCACCTGGAAAACCCTTGGACTGTACTGCTCTATCCCTAGTCATGCGACCAGAGAAGCCCTGCCAGTGCACCCTGGCTGATAACCACACAGCAGATGCTCAGTCCACACCCTGAGAGCCCCAGCACTGGGACACACTAGTCCACGCCTCCAGACAGACTGCCAAAACCCCCAGGCACATACAGTCTACCAAGGAGATGTTCCCCGACACAAGTCCAATCATTCAAGACTGGGAGAGGTAGCCCTCTTGACAAATTCATGGAATCAAGCACAGAAAGGCAAACAAAATGAGAAAGAAGAATATGCTCCAAATGGCAGGACAAAAACATCAGGAAAAAAACTAAATGAAACTAAGTTAACCAATCTCCTGCTAAAGATCAAAGCAATGATTATAACCAAATACTGTTATAATCATAATTACAATTGTATTTATATGATTATTATATATAATTTATATCATACATAATTATAATTGTAAATAATTAGATAGAATTATAAAATTATAATCAAAGCAATGATTATAAAGATGCTCACTGTACTTGAAAAAAGAATGGATGAGGTCAGGGAGTACTTCAACAAAGAAAAAAATCTAAAAAAGACCAATCAGATGAAGAATACAATAAATGAACTAAAAAATACATTAGAGGGAATCAACAGCAGACTAAAGATACAGAAAAATGGATCAGTGATTTGGAAAATAGAGTAATGGAAGCACTCAAGCTGAACAGCAGGAAAAAAAAGAGAAGTGTGGATAGGTTCAGGGAGCTCTGCAACAACATCAAACATCCTAATATTTGCATTATAGTATCCCAGAAGGAGACAGAGAGAGAAAATTTATTTAAATAAATAGTAGCTGAAAACTGCCCTAACCCAGGGAAGGAAAGAGACATCCAGGTCCAGGAAGCACAGAGGGCCCCAAACAAGATGAAACCAAGTGGTCCACACCCAATATACATCATAATTAAAATATCAAAGATTAAAGACAAAGAAAGAATCTTAAAAGCAGTGAGAGAAAAGCAATGAGTTACCTACATGGGAAACCCATTCAGGTTAGCAGCTGATTTTTCAGCAAAAACTCTACATGACAGAAGGGAGTGGCATGATGTATTCAAAGTGCTGAATGAGATAAACGTCTAAGAACACTACCCAGCAAGGTTATTATTCAGGATTGAAGGAGAGATAAAGAGCTTCTCAGATAAACACAGGTTAAAAGAGTTCACCACTGCTAAACTAGCCTTACAAGAAATGTTAGATTTCTTTCAGAGTTAAAGAAAAGGCCATAACTAGAAGCAAAAAAATAATGAACAGGAAAAATTTCACTAGTAAAAGCAAACAGACAGCAAAGGCAATATACCAATTACTTAAAAGCTAGTATGAGGGTTAAAAGACAAAAGTAGTAAAATCAACTATTTCTAAAAATTACTTAAGAGAATCGCTAAATAAAAGGTATTAAAGAAGACTGCATATACACAAAATGTGGAGGGGAGAAGTTAAAAATGTAGTATTGTTAGAATACATTCAAACTTACTTCAAATGCATTCTAATGTTAAGTGACTATCAACAGATATATATAAGATGTCATATCTGCTATATATGTAAGATGTCATACATAACTGCATGGTAATCACAAACCAAAAATCTATAATAAATCTATAAAATATAAAGAGAAAGGAATCCAACCATAATACTAAAAAATAAGTTGTCATGCAGAGGGAAGAGAACAAGACAAGAAGAAAGGACAAGAGAAAAATGACAAAAACAACCAGAAAATGTTTAACAAAATGGCAATAAGTACATACTGATCAACAATTACATTAAATTTAAATGAACTAAATCCTCCAATCAAAAGACAGGGTGACTGAGCAAAACAAGCCCCTTCTATATGCTACCTACAAGAAACTCACTTCAGACCTAAAGACACACACAGACTGAAACTGAAGGGATATTAAGATACCCCATGCAAATAGAAACAAAAAGGAGGAGTAACAGTACTTATATCACACAAAAGACTTTAAAACAAAGATTGTAAAAAGAGACAAAGGGTATTACATACTAAGGGCTCAGTCCAGAAAGAAGATATAAAAATCATAAATATCTATGCACCCAAGAGAGGAGCACCTAAACACAGAATAAATGTTAACAGATATGAAGGGAGAGATTGACAGTAATACAATAATAGTAGGGGAATTTACCACCCCACTTACATCAATGGATAGATCACCCAGACAGAAAATTAATAAGGGAACAGTGGCTTTGAATGACACATTAGTCAAAATGGATCTAATAGAATACACAGAACATTACATATACATATATAAACTAAAATAGCATATACTCATTCTTTTCAACTGCACACAAACACTCTAGGATATATCATATATTAGACCACAAAACATATCTTAATAAATTTAGGAAGATTGAAATGATGTCAATCATCTTTTCTGACCACAACACTATGAAACAAAATCAATAGAGGAAAAAAACAACATGTGGAGACCAAGGAGCATGCTACTAAACAATGAATGGGTCAACAAAGAAATTAAAGAGGAAATCAAAATATACTTGGAGGATAATGAAAATAGAAACACACAACAGAAAAATTTGAGATGCAGAAAAAAATAGTTCTATGGAGGAAGTTTATGCTGTTACACACCTACCTCAAGACACAAGAAAAATCTCAATCTAACCCTACACTAAAAGGAACTAGAAAAATTAAAAACAAAACTCAAAGTTAGCAGAGGATGGAAATAATAAACATCAGAGCAGAAATGAATGAAACAGAAATGAAAAAATATGAAGTATCAATGAAACTAAGAGCTGATTCTTTGAAAAGATAAACATTGATAAACCTTCAGCTTGACTCATGAAGAAAAAAACAAGACTCAAAATCAGAAATTAAAGGAGAAATTACAACTGACACTACAGAAATACAATTATAAGAGGTTCTATGAAAAATCATGCGCCAACAATTTGACAACCTAGAGGAAACGGATAAATTCCTAGAAACATGAGCTCCCCCAAAATACTAGAATTAATAAGTGAATTCAGCAAAGTCACAGGATACAAAATCAACATATAGAAATCTCTTGCATATCTATATACAAATAATGAACTAACAGAAAGAAATTAAGAAGACAGTCCCATTTATAATCTCATCAAAAGGAGAAATACACCTAGGAATAAATCTAACCCAGGAGGTGAAAGACCTGTACTCTGAACACTCTAAGACACTGATGAAAGAAACTGAAGAAGACATAATTAAATGGAAAGCTATTCCATGTTTGTGGATAGGAAGAATTAGTATTGTTAAAATGGCCATACTGCCCAAAACATCTACAGTTTCAGTGTAATCCCTATCAAAATACCAACAGCATTTCTCACTGAACTAGAGCTAACAATCCTAAAATCAGTATGGAACCTCAAAAAAACCAAATAGCCCAAGCATTCTAGACAGAGAAGAACAAAGCTGGGTACTTCACGCTCCCCGATTTCAAGCCATCCTACAAAGCTACAATAATCAAATACATAGATCAATGGAACAGAATAGAGCACCCAGAAAATAAACCCATGCCTTCAAGGCCAATTAATACGTGACAAAGGAGGCGAGAATATACAATGGGGAAAAGATAGTCTCTTCAATAAATGGTATTGGGAAAACTGGACAGCTACATGCAAAAGAGTGAAACTGGATCACTGTCTTACACTGTATGCAAAAATAAACTCAAAATGGATAAAGACCTAAATATAAGACCTGAAGCCAGAAAACTCCTAGAAGAAAACATAGGCAGTCAACTCTTAAACACCAGCATTAGTAACTCTTTTCTGGATGTGTCTTCACAGGCAAGGAAAACAGAAGCAAAAATAAACAAGTGGGACTACAACAAACTAAAAAGCTTCTGCACAGCAAAGGAAACCATCAACAAAATGAAAAGGCCATCTACTGCATGGGAGAATATATTTGTGAATGGCACCTCCAGTAAGGGGTTAATATCCAAAATATACAAAGAACTCATACAACTCAACACCAAAAAAAACCAATGACCCAATTAAAATATGGGCAGAGGACCTGACTAGACATTTTTCCAAAGAAGACATTCTGATGTCCAACAGACACATGAAAGGATGCTAACATCACTAATCATTGGGGAAATGCAAATCAAAACCACACTGTGGTATCACCTCACACCAGTCACAATGGCTAATATCCACAAGACAAGACATAACAAGTGCTTGCAAGGACATGGGGAGAAGGGAATCTTTGTACACTGCTGGTGGGATTGCAAATTGGTGCAGCCACTATGGAAAGCAGTATAGAGGTTTCTCAAAAAACTAAAAATAGAAATACTATATGACCCAGCAATTCCACTTCTGGGAATTTACTCAAAGAAAACAAAATCACTTATCTAAAAAGATACATACACTTCTGTGTTTATCATAGCAGTATTTGCAATAGCCAAAATATGAAAACCACAGTGGAATATTACTCAGCCATAAAAAAGAATGCAATCTTGCCACTTACTACAACATGGATGGACCCAGATGATATTGTGCTAAGTGAAGTGAGACAGAGAAAGACAAATATTATATGATTTCATTTATATGTGGAATCTAAAAACCAAACCAACCAACCAAACAAGCATAACAAAAATAGACTCACACACAGAACAGACTGGTGGTTACCATAGGGTTGGGGGTGGGAGAATGGGTGAAATAGGTGAAGAGGAAAAAGATTACTGAGAATATTTGATATCTTGCTCTGGGCAATGGTTACATGAGGTATACACATGTCAAAATTTATCAATCAGGCACACTGAGATTTGTGCATTTTATTATATGTAACTAAATGTAAATGTTTTTAAATTTAAATGCCACAAAAATAAACATTATTGCTCAAAAAAATACAATTTTAAATCCCTCTGGGGGAAAAAAAAGACACTTTCCATCAGAAACATCTACAAATATGTATACATACATAAAGTTTCACAAAACAATAGCCATTTTAATGTATTCTATTATTTACTATCTTTTTCAATTCTCTAATGCTGGTTACTAAACTGATTTCAGATAAACAGTGTGCAACTAACTCATAGTCTTGATAACACTGGTCTGAGAGCAATCACATACTGGATTACAGGGACCAGGTAAATTCAAACCTTGTGCCTAGGCCTGGAAATCCTTGCCTGTGTCTCAGAAGCCATGTAGAGGAAGGGAAAGGCCCAGACCACACAGACTCGGGCCCTGCCCAACTGAACCAAAGCTTCTCAACTATCTTGGGATTTCACATAATATTTATTTAGAAACGGGGCAAAAAGTGTTCAAAGTTTAAAAAAATTAGAAGTTTTAAAAGCACTGAGTTAGAAGACATTTCAGGACCCCTTCCAGTATGAGACTAGAAATAAATATTTATTCCAAACTATAAAATAAACCACAGATTTATATACCAGTATAGAATCAAGACCATATCATTAAATCATAAACTTTTAATACTGATCATTCAAAGCTTTATAACACAGAATGTCAGATTTTTCCAACATACTGCTGGATTAAAAGTGCTGAAGGCATCAAAGCATCTCCTCAAATTCCCTCCCCATCTTGTAGAAACAACTTCTAAGTCTTCTCCCTTACTAAAAGTATATTCTGCTTTTAGTAGTAATAAAAACAAAAAATTATTTGTATTAATAAAGCAATTTTATATTACTAAACAGAATACAACACCAAGTAAACAGAGTAAACCACAAGAAGTACTAGGCCCTTTAGACATTAACGGGAACAAATTGGTCTTGTTAAACCAAAACCTCAGCAACTTTCTTAATTCATAAAAACATGTATTTTCCCACTGGAATTACCTCCAGCTAAAGTATACTGGGTTGGGTGCACAGCATTGATGGAACACACAGAGGCAAGGCATTCTCCACCAAGAAAAGAATGCACCAGCTTTCCTGTCTCATGGAAGATTTCCACCCGTCGTGGATGAGCCATGCTGCCAACTATGACACAGTCTTCTTGTTTAGGGTCCCATACAGCTTGGAACCTGGTCAGCCATCGCCCAGTGAGGGTGTTGTGCCTAGTGGGAAAAAAAAATTTTTTAAGAGTGACAAGTGTTAAAGAACTCAAAGTAGCAATGAACAAGAGGTAAAGATGACATTGCTCCTAAACGATGGTTTTCTCTGCCAAGTTTTTTCTCACTAAATTACTGAGTTACCATCAACCCAATTTCATCCCCTCTACAAGACTGAAACTCAGGACAGAGATGAAGTCTTCTGCAATTTTGCACCTCTAGTGCCAGGTACAGTGGTTTGTACTAAATGGATGGACACTAATGTCTATTGAAATGGTTCCTTTTTTGTTCACTATTCCCTAGTTCAAATGGGCTCCCCTGCTTGGTCTTACTACACACAAACAGAAAACCCTAGAAATAAGAAACATATAATTGAGATCATTGCTGTTTTAATAGGATGTTCTATTTCCCATTTTATATTCTCCTGATAACCAAACTTTGCAATCATTTCATATTCCATTCAACATTAAAGTAAAAAATACATTTGGGACACAAAAAGAATAAAGTCACAAGGGAAATGACAAAATACCTGCAGACAAGTAAAAATGAAAACACAACATACCAAAAGTCATGGGATGCTGTGAAACCAATAATACTAGAGGGAAATTTATAGCATAAACACCTACATTAAAAAAGAAGACCTCAAATTCAACATCCTAACTACATGTCAAGGAACTAGAAAAGAATAACACACTAAACCAAAAGTTAGCAGAAAGAAAATAAGAGCAGAGATCAGTGAAATAGAGAATTTAAAAAAATAGAAAAAATAATAAACTAAGAGTTGGTTTTTCAAAAAAGATAACAAAACTGACAAGCCCATAGCTAGGTTAAGAAAAAAATAGAAAACACAAATAACTAAGATCATAAATAAAAGAGAGGACATTAAAAATGATGTCACATAACTGAAAAGCAGTATAAGAGAATACTATTAACAACTGTACATTAACAAATTGGATAATCTAGAAGAGATAGATAAATTCTTGAAACATGCAGCTTACCAAGACCAATTCAAGAAGAAATAGAAAAGTTTTATTAGTAGTAAGAGGATTAAAACAGTAATCAAAAACCTCCAAAGAAAATGCCAGGACCAATGGCTTGACTGGAAAATTTTACCAAACATTTAAAGAATTAACAAGAGAACTCCTCAGACTCTTCCAACAACTGAAGAGGAGAGAACTCACAAAACTCACAGAATGAGGCCAGCATTACCCTGATACCAAAGCTAGACAGACTTTAAAAGAAAACTACAAACTATATCCCTTGATGAATAATGATAAAAAAAAATCCTCAACAAAATACTAGCACATTAAAAGGATTATGCACCATAACCAAGTTGTATTTATACCTGGAATGTAAGGATGGTTCAAGATCAGCTGAAGTAATACAGGCACACTTCATTTTATTGTGCTTTGTAGATACTGTGTTTTTTACAAATTAAAGATTTATGGCAATCCTGCATTAAACAACTCTATTGTGACCATTTTTCCAACGCAATTTGCTCACTTTGTGTCTCTGGGTCACATAATTCTCACAATATTTCAAACTTTCTCATTATTATTATATTTGTTATGTTGATCTGTGACCTATCATTATAATTCACTGAAAGTTCAGATGATGGTTTGTATTTTTAAGCAATAGTTATTTTTTAATTACAGTATGTACATTGTTTTTTTGGATATGATTCTATTGTACACTTGAAAGACCACAATATAGTGTAATGGAATGCCTTGGAAAAACAAAAATTTCATTTAAATTACTTTATTGAGCTATTTACCTTATTGCAGTAATCTGGAATATCTACAAGGTATACCTGCATACCACATTAACAGAATAAAAGACAAAAACCACATAATCAGCCCAAGTGAAAAATCATTTGACAAAATCAATACCCTTTCATAATAAGAACACACAATGAACAAGAATAGATGCAAACTATCTCAACATAATAAAGGTCATATATGAAAAGCCCACAGCCAACATCAAACTCAACAGTAAAAGACTAACAGCTTTTCCTCTAAGATCAGGAAAAAGGCAAGGATGCCCATTCCCACACTTCTATTCAACAGAGTATTGGAAATCTGGTAGGACTACAAAACTGGGTAAGACTAGAGACACTAATCTAACTTCTGGGTATTCACAACTGCACAGGTAACCAGATCCTACATAAGAGAAACCACCACTAAACCAGTAAGGGGGATACATTCTGAGCAGTCACAGGTCAGTCAGTTAATCAGACAAAATAAATAAATAAAAAGAATCCAAATTGAAAAGAAAGAGTATAATTATCTGTTTGCATGACATGATTTATATGTAGAAAATCCTAAAGATAACACCGGTACAAAATACCCTATAAAAACTAAAATGATTTGAAGCTACCATACAACCCAGTAATTCCACTTTTAGGAATTGACCCAAAGAAAAGAAAATATCAATGGTGAGGGGAGATGGTGGCGTAGGAAGGCAAGGCAGAAACCTCCTCACCCACACACACACACACCAAGGAAGCAATCACAGCAGATACAACCAAACCCAAAAACAAACTGAAGACTGCAGAACAGACCTCCTACACCTGGTAAAGGAGAGACCACACAGAGAAGGATAAAGTGGTAAAGCCATGATCAACCAGGACCCCAGCCCTTCCCCCATCGAAGCCCCACAGGTGGGAAGAAAAGGAAAAGAGTGAGGAGGCGAGAGGCACTCAGAAACTCTGCAAACTTGGCCCTGGAGATCTGCTCTAGGAACACAAGTCCACATTGCACTGGGTTCTGGTAATTAGCAGGGCTGCACAACAGGATGAGTCAGAGCACTCTAGGAGGTTGAAACTCCAGCCACAAGTGGAGGACAGGAATACAACACCAGTCCCACTGAGACCCAAACAGAGGGGCAGTTTGAAGACTTACGAGAAGTGGGAGGGGTGCCAGAGGGGTGAGGGTTGGATGGAGCTCTCTCTGCAGGAGAAAGGGCAGGGGGGCAACACTTCCTCAGCTCTGCTTTGGCACAACAGGTCAGCCACTACAGGGAGCCCCAAGCACTACATCCCCTTTGCTGGCAGCTCAGCGCTAAGGTGCTTCACTGCACACCCACCCTCTCACTTGGCCCAGCTGCATCAGACTTTGCTGCGTGGCAGGCAGACAGAGGCTTTTCCAATGTTCTCAGCCCTGTCTCAGTCCAGTGAGAGAGGGGCCTGCAGGAGCCAGCTCCAAGTGCTCCTTCCTCCACTAGAGTGGTCCAGCCCAGTTCCACATCACCCCACTGCCCCCAACACAATTCACGTCAGCATGTCTGCCCCACAGCTGTACTACTATCCACCCCATTAGCCCAGCAGCACTGCCATCACTGCAGGGCAGGCTGAGGACAGCGCTGAGGAGAGCACTGCCCACAACAATCCAACAAGTGACCCTGCTTTGCTCAGCTGAAAATCAGGCACTGGACAATAAACAGTGGGCTTCTGGGCACCAAAGGACACATTCTTCGTGAGACCATCATCCTCTAGACCAGGGAACATAGCAGATCCATCTACTAAAAGGAAGAAACAGAAACCCTGACAAAATGAGGAGGCAGAGGACTACTTTCCAAACAAAACTGTAAGATAAGACACCAGAAGGAGGGCTCAATGAAATGGAGATCATCAATCTTCTAGATAGATTTCAAAGTAACAGTCATAAATATGCTCATTAATCTTAGGTAAGTATTGAAGATCTCAGCAAGGACATAAACAAAGACATAGAAGAGTTAAAAAAGAGCCGATCTGAGCTGAAGAACACAGGAACAAATGAAATACACAATGAAAAGAATGAATAATAGACTGCTGCAAGCAGGGGAGACAATCAATGAGATGGAAATTAGAGAACAGGAAAACAAAGCTGAGGAACAAAGAGAAAAAGTCTCTAGGAACAAAAGAATGTTAAGATAGCTGTGTAACAAGTCAAAACAACAGTATTCACATAAGAAGGATACCAGAAGGAGAAGAGAGAGACAAAGAGATAGAAAGTCTCTTTAAGGAAGTAAGTGTTGAAAACTCCCCTATCTGGTGAAACAGACACCCAGGTCCGGCAAGCACAGAGAGTCCCTAACAAAAGAACACCTGGAAGACAACACCAAGACATATAATAATTAAAATGGCAAAGATTAAGGAGAAGGAGAAGGAATGTAAATCAGTCAGAGAAAAAAGATTACTTACAAGATAACCCCATTAGGCAATCAGCAGACTTCTCAGCACAAACGTTACAGGCCAGAAGGCAGTGGCATGAAATATTTAACATATTAAAACAAAAGGACCTTCAACCGAAAATCCTCTACCCAGCAAGATTATCATTCAAATTTGAAGGAGAGATTAAACATTTCCCAGATAAAGGAAGGTTGAAGGAATTTATAACCACCAAATGAGCATTACAGGATGTTAAAGGGACTTCTCTTTAACAAAGAATATTTAAGGAAATATTCTTAAGCCTAAATAGTTTTCACCAAGGAAAATAAAACCATAGTAAAGGTAGTAGACAAATTACTTACCAAGTGAGTATAAAATTAAAACAAAAGGACTAAAACAAATTATACACAAAATCAATCAAGGGATGCACCAAAAAATGCAGGTTATGACATCTAATACATAAAGTGTAGAAGAGGAAGAAGAAAATAGAAGAACTTTTAGACTGTATTTGAAATACTGCAATAATTAACTTAATATAGACTGTTAAATAATTACAAAGCTATCTTTGAACCTTATGGTAGCCAAAAATCTAAACCCTACAACAGATACCAAAAAAAAATTGAAAAAGAGAAATCCAATAACACAACTAAAGAAAATCATCAGATAATAAGAGAAGAGTGTAAGAGAGGAAGAAAGGAACAGAGAACTACAAAAACAACCAGGAAACAATAAAATCAATAATGACCTTAAATGTAAATGGACTGAATGCAATAATCAAAAGACACAGAAAGGCAGAATGAATACAAAAACAAGACCCATCTGAGTGGGGATTAAGGATGATGGCATGACAGGTGAGACA